TGCGTGCGTGCGTGCATGGATGCAGTGACCGACCCCGTCAGTGAATCATTTGACGCGCGGTGAACTCGATTGCAATCCGCAGCCGGAGTGACCGATGTCAATTCATCTATTTCTCCGTACACGGTGTATCAATTCGATATTTGTGGAAACGAAACCCAAAGAAATTCTCATTTAGAAAATGCATAAAAAATGAGCATACCAATAAATTAGAAAGTTCTATTGACAAATATTTCACAATAAAGTGCAACAAACTTACAGGAATACACCGGTCGCGGCTATGATATGGCAATTCCACTGACCGTGAGTTGTTTTGTGAGATTTTACGCCTTCCGCCCAGGTCAGTCAGGTGACAATCGGTAACTTGGTGTGTGTGCGTTTCGGACCCTTTCGACCAGGATTTGAGGCATTCAAATTCAAGTTTTTATTATAAATAAATTACAAAGCTGAGGCTTATTGAATCCCATAGGGTCTATCCAGTATCTTTGAACGAGAAGAATATTTCTGTCGTTTTTGCTGTTTTTCTGAGCTGCACACCGCGGCACACGAATAGAGCAAGGCAAGTTGTAGAATTCAGATATGCTCCCACGAGTATCAAAAATCTGTGGCACACCGTTAACTATGTCTGTTCGAAAATCCCGGACATGTGACCACTTTGACGGAAAGGTTAAAACGTCAGATAATACGGTTTTCATCCAAAACAGTAATCATTGACCCGAGCAGAAAAACAAAGCTCGTAATATTGATGCCAATACGACTTGTGTGGCCAACACTCCAGCAAACTCCGGCAGGGAAATTCAAGAAGATGTGATGGGGGCTTTATTTTAATTCATATCAAATTCAGTTGAGGTTATGGTAGGCCAAAAGCCACGTGTGTATAATGTAATAATAGGTGAAGTGAAAGCTGGCAGTTAGTTTGTCCGAGACACGATACTGCTGGTACGGTACCAGTAAGGAACCAACTGCCGTTCAAAGAGAAACGATAAACAATGACTCAATGATGCATTTTCTACAGCTGTTTTGAGTCATTGTGTAAACATGCACCATGTCCGAAACAACACAAGATATGTGAAGATATTTTATAGTTGTGTTTTACGATTTATGAAAACGAACATCAGTGAGTGTGGTGAGCCAACCCTCCAAGATGACCTCAGTCAAGCACCTGCAAGTTCCAGTTTCCGGACATTGGGTCGTGGATGAACATTATCGATCAATCAACAACCATACGGTTCAAACAAAAGTCGTGCGACTCAAAGGTGATTGGTTGCTATCCAGTTGACGAATTACACATTATTTAACACTACCGATTTCTCTCAATAAATGTTACACTTCTTATGTGTCCTTTTTCCTGCTTCTCGTAACGGGAGATCTTAGTATGTGATTGCCAGTGCGATTCGGTGCTTCAGTTCCGATCGTGAATGTTGATCCAAAATCCTTATCTACTTCGGTCACGACAGTGAGCTGACAACTTTGGAACGCATCAGTGCGGCAATACTCACACCGTGTATCAAAGAGAATAGGGCCGCTTGTAATGGTTGTAGTACGCACGGATCTCCAATAACGAATCACGTAGCCAAAATCACGGTGTAATTGAGAGAATAGACCACAAATACGAGGAGGGAGTCTGGGAAGGTTAAACACACAGGGCGGGTGGTAGCAAGTGGCAAGAAATAACTGAATTGCGAGAAAGAATGAACAGTCACAACAGTGAAGACGGTAGGATAATCATAGTGGGTGGGTGATGAACAGGTGACCAGAATAACACGAGGCAGTTTCTATGTCGGATCGAGATAATTGATACCGATAATGGATTGAGCGTAGAACAAGTGACGACACTTACTACGACAAAAATCCATATGGGGTGGCGATAATAGATTACGATAACAGGACAACAATTACGACAATCGCCACGAAACAGTTTCCGTGTGGGGTGAAGATAAGAGATTACAGTAACAGGTTGAACGAAGAACGGGCCACGACAATTAATACGAAGCGGTTAGGTAATCATGAGGGAACTGCGTAAAAGTGCAAACTGAATGGCCAATAAACGAGCCAATACTCCTGTGGCCTTTTCCTCGTGTCTCGGTTACGTGGGACAATGTTGTGCTAGTATCAGTGTGGTCCACTGCTTATGCCTTGCCCTTGATTGCTAATCCATGATTCGTATTTCGTGTTCAGTGCGTACCACAATTACCACAATTATCACAAAGCTTTGAAGACTACGGTAGTCGAACTTGAAATATCGAGTAGCGCCTTCTGCATTGCAATGCCTGGTCTCGTAGGCTCACAGTAAAACAATACAAACTGCGGCTATTTTATTCACACAATGTCCTTGAGGGTTATGACTGCTCCATTTTCTTGGATTCCATGGTTTCATATATAAATGATACGCTAGGGAACATGTTTTTAATTTTTTTTNTTTTTTTTCTTCCTCGGTTGCCTGAATGTGCGATCAAACCCGGAACACGCGAATATAAGTTCAATGAAAGTGAAAATTTGTACTGGATATAAAAATGATGAGTTATCGATAAATCTTATATTAATGGTAAAAGGAAGATAATATCTTTTACTATTCCATAAATTGTTATTGATCGATCGAGGTTCAAGAGTTTTGTTCAGTTGTAAACCGGATCGTTTGGACCCCCAGGTTCGAAATCTGCAATCTGCAATCGGCCACCGACACCCAAACTCTGTGGTAGTGTAATGATTGTAATAGTAGTAGTAATACGCAATAAACCCTAAACACGGACCACGTAATAGGAATCACGGAACACTAATCAAGGGTCAGCTATCATGGAAGCACTGGACCACAATGACACGAGCCTGCAATATCCCCCGTGATTGAGACGAGAGGAAAAGGCCACGAGAATAGTAGTTTGTTTATTGGAAGAAATGAAAACGATCAAATATATGTACAAAAGAAGATCATTGATTATCTAGGACTCCACCAATCGGATTGCAATACTGCTTGCATAATTCTGCTTTTGGACTGCACTGTCTCGGATTGGCTGTTACGATCCACCAATGACGTGTAGTTAGAATCCATGTGTGTGTCATTGAATTCACGTTTGAAATTTGATTGATCGCAGGTGTCCAAAAGCTGTAACTCACCGCTCCAAAGTAGTCATCATCTTGTAGGCCTGGATCACCACAGGTGGACAGTTTTACCTTCACCCGTCGGAACCTTATACCGTTTACTATTCCAGTTCTTTGAGATTTAGATATTCAGTCCCCAAAATGAAACAGTAGATCCGTGTGAGTGACTACGAGTCTAATCTGTTCTTTCTTTCAACACATTAAGATTCTCAAGCAAAAGTCTGTTAACGCGCTGGAATAGAAACAAGAGATATTGTGGTAATCGACGTCGGTACGGATTACCGAGCACGAATCACGGTCTCAATTGAAACGCACTATCAATCGGATGCTGGAATATCATGTCACTGAGACACAAGAAACAGGTCAGAGGTAGCGGTCCGTTTATTGCGGAAAATCAGTGAGAATAAACAAAGTGTACAAAAGAAGTTTATTGGTTATACAGGTATCCACCAATCCGTACAAAGTGTGATGATCCTAGCTTACGAAATGATGTGAACCACGGAGCGACACGTTACAGCTTCCGGACAACGAACCTGTGATGATCCACACCTACGTGATGATGCCTACCCTGGTGTGGCGCGTTACAATTTCTGGACACCTGCGATCAATCAAATTTCAAAGGTGGCGTCAATGACACCCGTCACGGCTTCTGACTGCACGCCATTCGTGGATCGCAACAGCCAATCTGAGACAGTGCAGTTCAGAAGCAGAATTATGCAAGCAATATTGCAATCCGATTGGTGGAGTCCTAGATAACCAATGATCTTCTTTTGTACATATATTTGATCGCTTTCATTTCTTCCGACAAACGAATTAGGAGTTGCCAGTCTTCTGATCTTTTCCACGCGTCTCGTTCACGTGGGATATTGCGAGCTCATGCCATTGTGGTCCAGTGCTTCTGAGATCCAATCCGTGATAGCTGATTTTTGGTTCGTGTCCTATGATTCCTATTGCGTGGTTCGTGATTCGAGTTCCGTGCGTACTACTACTACTACTACTACTACTATTACTACTACCACGAACGTTACATAACCACAGGCCGATTGTGGCTACCACTTGGAAACCGTACTGCCCCGACAGGAGCTGTACGACGTCAAGAATACGAGCATGCGATTGGTAAATACCCGGATGACCAATAAGCTTGTTTTGTACATGTTATTCAATCTCCTGAGTTCTTTCAATAAACGAACTACTACTCCTGTGGCTTTTTCCTCGCATCTCGGTTACGTGAGGTAGTACGTGCAAGTACGCATGTGGTACAGTGCTTACGCCTCGTCCGTGATTTGTATTTCATGTTCAGTACTAGTAGTAGTACTACTACTAGTACTACAATTACCACAGTGACGTGGTGCGCAACTGTGGGCAACCATTACTATTGAACTTGAAGGGTTGTATTCACATACCGTCGACATAAGTCGAATCATTCGCGATCAGTCTCCGTCGTTGAATATGGACAGCAGGTAGTTTACATGACTTCAGTGACACAGACTGGTTCAACTCATGTATTGCGTTCAGGCCCAGGATAGATTGAATATTGTCACCGACCAGAAAACGAATAGGAATTAAGTAGTTTATCGGTGATCGAACCCTAAAAGGCACATTCTCCACCAATGGGAGATTGCGACTCGTAATACCACGAAGCTGCACGGACGTTTGACGGACTTGGTCTTCGGGACAGGTCGATCGTAATACTTCAGTAGAAATGAGATCATCCATAATTCATGTATCTATAATGAATTTATGCTTCGTGCCCGACTGTAATGTCATATCTTTGTATAGGAATTAGGCACACTGATTTTGGGCTCGTTGAGAAAGCATAGGGCTTGTTTCTTGTTCGGCTGATGGCTGTGCGAGATTACAGTGGGGCTGTTTGCACACTCTCCGAATGTGGCACTTGTATTACTGAATTAACAAGTGGGGCGCATGCACGACAGACACGGGTTGATGTGTTTCTCGTTGCCGGAAGGGTCACGTTGTGGTTTCGGTGTGTGCTTGGCCACCGGAGGTCGGATTGGTCTCTGATTCTGGCGTTGGACTAAGGTGACCGCTTCAGTGGATGTTGCTTGCATTAGATCATCGTGTGGTTCACAGATCTTGCGTGCCTCTGCGAGCTCCAGATCATTCTTTTCTAGCGATTTCCCTTGTACTTTCAAGTCATTTATACCTGCCATTAGACGGTCACATCGGTATTCCTCCAGACGATCACCGTAATCGCAACATGCCACCTGATTGTTCAGCTGGAGGATGAAGTCCTGAAAACAGTTGAATTTAGCCTGTTCGTGTGCCTGAAATTCAGTGAGCAGCTAGTAATCAAGCAGCAACCGCTTCAAGAAATCGCATGGAATTTTCTGGTGGTGATCCAGGCCTACACGATGGCGCCTACCCTGGAGCGGCACGTTACAGTTTCAGGACATTTGCGATCAATCAAGTTTGAATGCTGACATCAACGACACGTGCATGGCTTCTGAATACACGTCATTGGTGGACCATTCCAGCTAATCAGATACAATACAGAGAAGAGCAGTAAGACGCAAGATGTAATGCAATATGATTGGTGGAAACTAAGGTAACCAATGATCTTCTTTTGTGCACATATATATTCGTTTTCATTTCCTTCAATAAACGACTTTGTGATTCACCTGTCTTGCGGCCTTTTTCCTCGCGTCTCGATCCTGCGGGTTATTGCGAGTTCGAGCCATTGCGGTCTAGTGCCACCGGATTTTTAATTCGTGTTCCGTGATTCCCATTGCGTAGTTTGTGTTCTGAATTCTGTGCGTAATTTCACTACTACTACTTCTACGATCACCACAGGTTCGTTCAAAATCTGTAACGCGTCGTTCCGTGGCCGGTGTCATCTGAGAGGATTGACTCACCATATCCATCCCCGATCATACTGAGGCTTTTGTGCAAAGGGGAGGAGTTCGAAACCCCGACATGGATATACGCAATTGATGAGTTCCACCAAAAGGAAACTCGAGTTTAGAGTTTCCAAAGTTGCTGATTGACTGGATAAATAAACAGCTATGGGGAGATTGTTGTATTGAAATCAGACACAAATCAGGAATCGAAATCACGGTGGGAATAGGACCAGTATTCATTCTTCTGTCGAAATTTACCAAGATCGAGACGCAAAAAGAAAGCTATTGAAGTAGTGATTCTTTTATTGAAAGAAGTCAGTAAGATCATATTATATATATATATATATATATATCGCAGACTAAGTAAGCATTACTAAGCACCGCTCCGTTTCGCTTCTTCACAGGACTCGTGTGTGAACCGCTTGACTTTTGTTTGGTCCAAACTGTTGGCCTCTGATTCGTTGTCCTACAATTGTCACGGGGAGTTCGATTGGCTAATACCATCTGGGATGGGTGAGTCGCCACAAAATTACACCTCTTATTCACAAAGAACTGGGTTCAATGATAAATCAGTTCAGCAATAGGCTTTGCCTCTTTTCACAAAAAAGATGAATCACATCATATATGGGTCTGGAAAACATTTCAGGCTTAGGGACGTCTACAAACCACGACTGTAAAATTACGAGAATTCTGATGGTAAATCGTTATTTTGTTACCGAACTCGGGAAAATGTTTGATCTGAAGATGTTTAAAAGTGCCACACATACATACATACATATACACATACACATAAGTAGTGATACATGAAAAGATGAACGAGGTGGGTGATGGGGTGGTGGGCAAACTGTTAGGATTATCCCAGAAGTTGTGTGCTCAAACTGAACTCCCACCAATGCTCAACTTTCTTCGAGATTTTGTATCACATGGCAAGATTCAGTAGAAGATCATTAGCTACAAAGAAATCTACCAGTGAAGACGGTTGCAGTGGTGATTGTTCTGAGATTGCATACTGAGAGACTAACAGACGACTCAATCACGACACTCCTAACTAATACGGACACCTGAAAGTTCCATTGAAAAGTCAACTTTGTAAGGAATACAAGAGTGAAAAGGCGAGTACAACAAAAAGGTCTGTTTGTTTTTCCGTTCTGTACGCGTGAGACCGGGTTTAACCCGGTCGAGGTTGTATCGACCACATCTTCACTCTGCGCTAAATTCTAGAGCACCAGCATTCTTTTCGTAGACTCACCATCTCTGTCTTCCTAGATCTGAAAGCGGCTTTCGACTCAGTCGACCGCTCTAAGCTCTGGCGCTGCTTTTTTCTGAAAGGTGTGCCCGAGAAGTTAATTTCAATATTAAGATCGCTTTATATTAATAGCCGAAGTCGAGTCCGGGCTTACGGCACTTTTTCTCCCGAGTTCACCACGGAAAGTGATGTTCGTCAGGGTTGCCCTCTTTCTCCTTTTCTATTTAAATTTGTTATAGATCTGATTATGGAAACAGCCCTATCCTCGTGCGAGGATAGTGGCATAGATTTACTTCCAGGTGGCAGGCTGTCTGATCTGGAGTACGCAGACGACATTGTGCTACTAAGTGAAGATCCAGGTAAGTTGCAAGCATTTCTGGATGAGTTGAATGCCAGTGTAGCCATATTCGGTATGCGTTTTGCACCTTCAAAGTTTAAAATGTTACTACAAGACTGGGTTGGTCCAGCACCTAACCTCACTCTCACTGGGGAAGTAATAGAACAAGTGGATAAGTTTTGTTATTTGGGCAGCTACATCTCACTCGGTGGACGCATCACCGATGAAGGCCACTAAGAAAACAGGATAAAGACAGACTGTCGGTGTTTGAACACCGCTGTCTACGCAGCATTGCACGAATCTGGTGCGGTAGCCGGATGAGCAATCCTGAGGTTAGGAGCAGAGTTTTGGGTAAATACGGTCGACCACTGGAGCAAGTGATCGACCTCAATAGATTACGTTGGTTGGGGCATGTGTTACGCATGTCACCACATAGGTTGTCACGGTGAGCGATATTTGCCGAGGCAAGTAGTGGGTGGAAGAAAGTGGCGTGAGGGAATGAAAACCCTAATAGGGAGTTTAGGTCACACAGGTCCCGTTAGGCTCCCTGGCTGGGGACCTTGGAATGATGATCGTAACCGATGGTTAGAGACACTGAGTGATATGGTTGGGTGTGGTAAATAGTGGCGTTCTTGCATCTTATCAATCTCTTTGCAACCTTCGACCACTGAACATTTAAATTTCTGTTCGACTCCACTTTCAACTTTCCTGTTCTTCTCTTGTTCTTTATCCAAATGGAGGCAGCCAAAAGACAGCAACTAAAACCGGCGCACGAATATGCGTGGTAAATGGTTGTACAAACTGAAGCGAAATAGTAATTTATAGGGCAAACTGATTCATCACATTTTTTATGTGATTTCGCCATATGATAAGAATAATATTCTACCTAATCCCGACAAAATTTCGTTTTCCTTTTGATCGTTAATCGAGTAGACCAATGTATTTGAATGAAGGTTTTTGTTTTTGGTAAATTTAGGGATCAACTCTCCTGATATTTTTTTTCTATTGATATATTTATATTGATATAATTCCAACTTATTTCATGTGTATAATTTCAAAGCATGACGTCACTACCACCACCACCACCACCACCACCACCAACAACAACAACAACAAAAGACAATGACCCAATTTTTCATAAGCTTCGCTGTATCATGCATAAGATCATTAGTGATAGAGGCCCAGTTAGCTATTCACGGGATGACCTTGAGGCGTCATAAATATCGAACGGATCAGTCTATTCAACATCACGAATCAATAAAAATTCTGCTATACACCGAATGGCGAGAGATTATCTGTAGACAGATGCATGCCTCATCTGCCCAATGCAGATGGTGGTAGTAATCTGTCGGACGAAAACGAACCGATACGATTGTGCATTCAACGTATTCTGAACCGAATTGACCAGTTGAAATCACAAATTGCCTGTTTTCATCAATTTATCCGAGTGGACGGATTGAAGCAAGATTTAAGTGCACTGATCAATCTAATTCGGACCG